CAAATACACAAAAGGCAATTTCTGCTCATTTGTTAAAATAAAAGCTCTATATCAAAAGCATTTATACAATAATTACAGGACAGTTTCTGTACTGTACATCAAGAAAACTTCAGCATTAAACACAGACTAAAAACATACTAAATTTGAACAGCAGGAGAGTAACATGAAATGTAAATATGCAACTAGATTTTCTTTCAACAAAGCATATTAAAAGCACATTGTTATTTTACATACATACATATATACAGTCTTGCAAAAACTTATCTGAATACAAGCAGGTGGGGGATTTTTATAGCTTCAGCTGTTGATATAAAATCTCACGTTCCAAAAAGGAGAGAGACAAAAAAGAAGTGTAAGCAGCTGGAGATTAGGGCCACAACCTGTCTCAAACTTCACTCATTTCTATACAATTTGGGCAGGAAATTCTGAATAGTTCCCTGAAATGAACACCAGACTTGGCTCTGGAAGAATTCAGCACGGTAACACATGTGGCATTAAAATAATAATTGATTGGGGAGAAGGGAAGGGTGAGAAGCATCTGTGCAGCTTCCATTTCTTCTGAAACAAATTGAGCTAGTGGGTCACAGCAGGAGGCCATATATCTGAGAAGAGAGTAGAGGCACACTGGGAAGTATTGGGATGAAAACATTTATAAATTGGGCAGAGGGAGGAAACAGCAACATTTTCCAGACATACTAGAGTGGTACAGTATTCTACACTCTTGTGAGCATAAAGCAACTAAAAAGTGGGAAAGCGGGTCAGAATATGAGTAAAGCAAGCAAAATGTTGAATTGCAGTTCTCCAACTATATCAGAGATATAGTGATTATGCAACGGGAAGGTACAGCCTAATTAAAACTAGTTTTAAAGATGACTGATGATGAAAGGAATTTTAATTGGCATCTTCAACTATCTTATGCTCAATGGATGGGCAATGCATGTCCACTCAGAAGTCTCAATTACAATAGAAGAACCTCATCCCAGCTAACCTTTGTTATCTCCAAATCTAAGTAAGGTCGATCGTAGTTAATACTGGAGTTGTAGACTAGATTGGAATGTTGAACTAGCATTCCAGAAGATGGGAATGGAAAATCACTTTGGTATTTCTGCCAAGAAAAAGGCATGGATTAGATCACTAGAAGTCCACTGAATTTAAGTCCACAGCTTCTAAATGAATTATCCAGCTGTGTATTACTAACAAATGCTCATTTGCAAATGTAGCAATCATAGAAAATAAATGTACATATTAAGAGTTTCCAACTCAATTTTTGCAGCATTACCAATCACACTATCAGAACCTTTAATATAGTTGTGCCTGATGTAAAATAATTGCAATGTATTGAGAAACTACAGCATCTACTGTATCAAAGTGTTTCAAAATGAAATATTCTTCCATTAATGTTGATTACACCTGCAATATAAAGTTATTTTATAATGGGTCTATCAGCTGCAGCTGAGTAGTAGAGTAGTCAGTATCTTAAGTGCCATACATTTTACATTAAGAACAGGAAGGGGAAAAAATTCAAGCCATGTTTATTCATGTACATTTTTCGTAAGAAATCTAACATAGGTTTGCATATAGCTGCTGACCTCGCACGTCGCACTAAAATTATGATATAATTGTTTACTTACAAGTAGCAACCTAGGAACTGTGATGCATAAATAATCATGCATGGCTTATGTGTGATTTCCTGACACGCCCTTGGTATATTTGTGTATTCTTTTAAGCATTTTATGAAGTTATAGGGCAAGAAAACAATAAAATGAAGAAGAAATAAATCAAGAATTAGATGATTAAGCCATAACTTTGCTCATTTACAAGATTAATTTTAACTTGTTTTTAAACAAAATAAACATTCATTTTATTGATTAATTATATATGCCACTCAACTCCCTAACCAAAGCAACTGTGAATTTAATGCAGTGTGTGGATCTACCTACCATCTTTAGTGAGAAAAAGATCTCTGCATAACAGGGAAGTTTATTATTATGAAAATAAGTGAGGAAGAATGGACAGGTAACGTTGTGCAAAATAAAAATCTGTGGATTTATAAAGGCTCTCCCATCTAAAGTTACCTTGGTATAAGAAAACTATGTACTGGCTAATAATCAGAAATTGGGATATTCCAAATTAGTAAGAATGTATTTTAGTAGAAAGAAATTGGAAAATACCTTTTGGCTACAAAAGTAATCAGGAAGAAGCTCCAATATCTGGACTGATTATTAGGAGATCAATTAGAATTTTAGAGCTAGTCTATTGCACCCAGCAATTAACGTGCCACTGGTGACTCTCTGATCACTGTTGAAACAAGCTGGTTCTATAACGAGACTTCAATTCAGACACACCTTTAGTGTAAGCACGCACCTCAAAATCACAGATGTGTTTAACATACATATATACAAATCTTCAGCATAGGGACATGACCACTGAAATAAATCTCAGGTCAGACATGACCTTCCTGCCCATCAGCTATAGACTGACTCTATAACCTATTATATCTAGACTATCATTGCTGCTGCAGCCCAGCTTCAGAAAAGAGGAAGGCTGCAGCATTTCCTGGCTTTTATCGCTTAACTCTCCACCAGACTGTGTGCTTATATTTGCATAGATGCAGACGGCATTCTTTCCCTGTCCAAGTACATGCTCTATATGGGGGGGGGGGAGGAAGGGGGGGAACAGCAGTATAGGCAGGTTAGGTTCACTGTGGCCTAAAGAAACAAATTAATCAGTTTTTTCATCTTATGAGCTAGTAAGATGGAATTCATTCCCATTTATGTGAACTGGATAGTTGTGACAAACTACTGGATTGTGCCTTTCAAAGTGCATCCAAAGTTATTCCCTTATGTATTTGCCATGAATATTATCCATTGAAAAAAAATAGTTGATGGATAGGTTTACTGATGCATTACTACTGATAAGATATAAATACAATTTTAAGGAATCCTATTTATAAGTCTTTAATAGCTGCAAAATGCCACGCAATGAATTGCAAAGTGCATCTGTGCTGGATTGTAGCAATTCTTTTTTTGGGAAGAACATGTTCTACCCAGGAACAAAATACTTTTGTAATTTGTTCCATATACATCCCTTTTTTCTTTCCAAAAAATACCATTTGGATACTTTGTTCATTACCCCCAAAATATATATTCTCTCCTAACATATGACAATGATTAAATTGAATGCTGACTTTCAAGGCAGCAATGCTCTTCTCTTTCCTCAACAGTTGAGAAAGCAAATGTTGCCTTTTTCACCACCTCGAGTGAATTATTTGAACAAGATAGTTTTCCTGTTTGGGCTGGAATTCACACAGTCTAAGTGCAAAGGAAAACATGATTGAGACCAGCCATTTTTGAAAATGCAGTCAAAATCCTGGTTGCATTGCTTTCACTTCATTATATTGCGTATAAAAAGCTAAAATTTGTGCAAAATTGTGGTCTGGAAGGAGAACATCATCGACCCAATGCAAAAATAGTGTAAATAGAGACATTCTTGAAGCTCTAATTGTAGCTCTGAAGTAGGTTAAAAAGAAAGCAATTCCCTTTAATTGAAGGCTGTTTTTAAAACACACTGGAAGAACTCACTTGAGAGATAGATTGGCACTGTCCCTATGTTGCAGGGAGAAAAAGATTTAAAGGCAAATATTCTGCAGTATGAGACTTTGAACCTTTCAAAAAAAATTCCCGTACAATCCATTAAACCAGGGGTGTCAAACTCAAGGCCCAGGGGCCTGCCATGCTATCCTAAAAACAGCAAAGGACCGGCCCCGTATATCTCTGCCAGCAAAATGGAGCTCGGCCCCCGAGCTCCGTTTTTACTGGCAGAGGGCCATCACAACTGAAAGCAGAGCTCGGGAGCCTGTTTTCGCTGGCAGAGCAATCGGGCCACCACAGTCGCCCCTGACACAAGTGACATCAAGCTGGCCACACCTACCCTGGCCACGCCCACCCGAGATCAAATACAACCCTGATGTGGCCCTCAATGAGATCGAGTTTGACATCCCTGCATTACACTGTCTACTTAGCTCAGTTTAACAATGGCTTGCGAGCATCCCCTCTAACTCTCAGCAGAATGCCTTCCTAGCTCTATTACTGGCTAATCTTGAACTCAAACAGAGACTTCCTGCATGCAAAGTACCTGCTCTGTTCTTCAAAGAACAGGTTCACCTGATCAGTTCCTGGGATTGTTTCTGCCTCAGACTGCAAGTAAAGGATAGTCAATTTCAGCATTCCTCCACATGAAACACAACTAGCTTTTACATGTTAAGAAAGAAAGCTGAAACTTATTTTCAACATTCAAATTCTTTGCATGTTCTGATAGTGGTTTTGTTTTGTGCTGTGAAATAAAAGAATTTGAAATATGTAATATCTTGTAGCTGTACTAGTAATCTTATATAATAAAAGTTGCTCCATAAAATATTCTGCTGATTGTGTAACTCAGCAGTCAGAATATATCAAGTAGCTGGTAGGATTAATTGCTATCTAGTTGTTGGAGCAATCCAACTATGGCTTACTGCAATCACTCTGAGTCGCCCTTTGTCCAAGAGACTTTCAATTTTCTTCTGTGGCTGGGAATCAAATTTAAAAGTTCTAGATTTTCAATACATTTCTAAGTAAATGTCTAGAAATGTGACTCTTGAACCGGTTCTAGGGGGGGGAAAAACCCTGCTGGAGAGCAATCCCAGCATGGTTTATTCATCAAAGGTTCTTCTGCAAATTATTAATGCAATTCTTTGCTTTCAAGGCCCCTGTGGCTGTAGAAGACTTATTTTTCAGGACTTTTCCATTTACAGCTGAATAAACACTGTATTTTCTGTGGACATGAGAATGTGAAAGTTACAAGCAAGCAGTTTAGGTACCCCATCTTTATCTGCTAAGCATTCTTTTTCTGTCCTCTGCTGCACTTTCTTTTTCTTTGTACTGCCAGACAGACAGAAAGTTGCTCTTTACTGTAGCAATGTGAAGATTACAGCAATTACTGTCCATATGTGTTAAGATAATTCCAAATACTTGCTGCTTGGTGCAGAAGGATAAAGTTCTTAGATAAATTTGGCTCAATGCACCATTTCTAAATACTTTTCTTTTTTTCCACACATTTGGTATTCTTGACCCCATATATTTGGATCTAGGTAGAGCGCAAAACATCTAAATCTGTGACGGTGAATCTATGGCACGCGTGCCCGAAGTGGCACATGTCGCCTGGCAAGCACAGCGCCGCCTGTTCCTCTTCTGGATTTCTGGCTTTCGTGCATACGACAGTGCTGGAAATGAAGAGCTGGCCTTGTGTTTTCTGGCACGAGCATGCATGCCAGCCAGCCAGCTATTTGTCGCTCACACATGTCCTCTTCCAGGTCATGGCCCAGACGAGCGCGCACGGGCTCCTTTTTCAGCACTTGGTGCCGAAAAGTTTCGCCATCACTGATCTAAATGACACTGTCATTTAGATGGCAAATACCTCAACAGAAGGGTTGTCCTGAGGGTACAAATATATATGAATCAATGCAACATGATCCTTATTTCTATTATCTTGAGTATACTCAGTCTGCCTTTGCAAACCATGCTTAAAAAAAAGGGGTGGGGGAATAAATATTGTAACTGTTTAAAAAAATAGCAGCTATTTTTGTTAAGCTAGTTGAAGTATTCAAATGGACAATTAAGCAAAACTACACTCAAGTCTATTCAGGTAGAAACAATGCACTTTCATGGTGGACCATTAGTTATCTAATCCATCAGGCTACAGTATCATGACAGCCGTTTTCGCTCATACTGGATTTCCAGTAGGTTTTCTGCCCTCCCCTCAAATCTGCGCCAAAGGATTCTTTAATCTACATTAGGGCTGTCAAATTCACGGCCACAGGCCAGAGGCATCACCCACTAGCCACGCCCACACCCGGTTTAGGGAAGGGGGAGAAAGTCATGATATGTCACGTTACGACGCAAGTTTGACACCCCGATCTACATGCTCAGATTTGGAATAAGAATGGTTATTGCAAATGGACTCTGATGAATGAATGCTATCTCCCAGGAGAATAATGCCATGGATAAAAGGTCATCTTCTCATAAATGTGGCTCTTTAATAATTTGGGCAGAAATCTACTTCAATCTCATTAACCCAAAATCATACATGGGTTCTTGTGCAAGCAAAGTTGTTTGTTCCACCACAGAACTACAGAGGCACAATATCCCAGAACTCATCACTAATTCTTTTGGCCAACTCTGGAAACATATGTGATCAACTTTATATGACTCAACGTAATAGGGGTAGTTCCAAACAAATACGAAGTATAATATTTCCACTCTTAAAGAGCTATATCTTAAAACCAATAGTGTCTTCACTCACCCTAGAGAGGTTACTCAGATTCTGGTTTATCTACCAGCTGGAGAAGCAAAAGACTCTTGTATGAAGGAGACAAAAGAAAATGTGAATAGCTCCAAGCCAGAAAGCAAACTTGGAGATGAAAGAAAGAGGTATATGAAGAACACTATGTGGCTCCTTGAATTTACACCCAAAGTAATTCAGTTATTATCCAGAGCATTTGACAAATTTCTCTCTCAGCAGAAGGTATGATATTTAAGGCTTATGCCACGATTCCTGGCAAGTTCAGGAGCTGAAGGAAAACAGACTTCCATTCTTTAAGTTGATACAGAAAGTTATTTATAAATAAAATAATCCATAAAATGTTTTTTTTTAAAAATAGATTTTTGTGGTCACTATATATATTTTTTTCCTTTAAAAAAATCTACCGGTACTGTTCAAGCAAGAAGGAAAGGAAGGAGAAGCAAGGCTGGAGCAGTCAGAACTGGGCTCTCAACCTCTGGAGGTCCTGGGCTAAACATCGCCGTCTTCATCTGAACTGCTGCTGTTGCTCCCAGGACTGCTCCCACTGTTGCTGCTTTCTTCGTGCTGAGTCCTACTGTGTGCTTGTGCTGCTGCCGCCGCTGCTGCTGCTGCCGCCGCCTCTGCCTCTGCCTCCCGCAATTTCAGAGCAGCAGCCTTTTTCTCCTGCTCGGCATGGCTTTTCATGTGAGCGCTCCGACTTTTCACCTTGTAGAAGATTCTGCAGGGCACACATATCCACAGGACAGTAGTTAAAATCCAGGTTTTTATATCACCTTCCACCCTCCTTTGTTTAAACACCGACTTACTAATCACGCAAAGTCAATCTTGAAGATTGTTAAGCTAAACGGGAAATTCCTGTTATCTGCTTTTGCCTTGCATGCTTTTAAAGCAGCTAGAACAAGAGGAGGCGACTAGTAAGCCCTCTCGATGTTGCTGAACTGCAATTCCCAGCATCTTTAGGAAGCTTGGTCATGTTAGTGGAGGCTGGAAGCTGCAGCTGAGAAATGCTTGTAATGCTACAGGTTGCTTTGATCAAGATTCAAAACTTGGTTAGTGCACAAAAATCAACCAGGAAATCACATTGCGCAGGCACACACACACACATTAGCACAAAAGCAAAGAAGCAGCACTCTAGTTTTAATATGATGGTCGACCCAACTTTATATCATAGTCCTGGACAGCCATTATCTACTGTACCTACTACGAAAACTTTGATTCCAAGTTTTAAAGTTTCCAAACTTTAATTGAAACAGTTTATCACAGCCCATTTGAGGTAAAACAGTTTTACCTCAAATGGGCTAACTTATAGAGTACACCTAAAATCCAGGGCCCATCACTTCCAATGGATTTGAAATTTAAAAAAAAAACATGTTATGACACAAGCACTATCACAAAGCAGTCTATGACATGATACAAAATGTCCTAAAACATTTAGTGGGCTGTTGTTTGACTGTACTATACAGTTCTCTACATGGGCTACTTTCAAAGCAGAGACATCTCTGAACATATTTCAACTTTCCCAGTGAAGGCAGTACATTAGCAGCTCTGCCACTGTTGAAGGCATTAAGGAATCTTGTAAGGAAATATCTCTGAAATTTCCCAACAGGTCACAGATTGTCTGGGTATAAATTATCATACTAGGCTTGGCCAAGATACATGAACACACCTTAAGTCATTCCTGATCTCAACCAACATGTATTTACCTTCCTGTTTTCTCAACTGTGATTGATAATTTTGGACACCTGGTTCCGGTGTATGATATCATCCATGACTAGCCAACGTTTAACTTTTAAAGTATGGAGGAATGATTATATTAGAAGAAAGAATGTTTTACATTTGGAAGCAAATTCTACCTAAAATGGATGCATAGGGACTGGCTGTTGTTTTTTTTCATCCTAGCACTCTTTAAGATATATTGGCATTACAACTCTCAAAATTCCCAGCTAATTTGACCAGAACACCTGGGAATTTGGGTCATTTAGTTGCCATAGATCTGGAAAGTGCCAAATTAAGAAAGTTTGCAGGGATTATTTCTGGACCAAAGTCAAGACCTGGAATTTCTAAGGTTGATTCTTTTAAGCAGTGCAGAGTGGAATCCACCCAAGTGCAATTCATGTTGGGATGCTACCTATACCTACTTTTTATTTATTTATTTCCCACATCAATTCAAAATGACTCTATATGATATGAAGAACTTTGAAAGATCATTTCCTGTATTTAAAAATGGAAATAAAAATAATAAAAAACACAAAGAGATCCAAATAAAGGAAAATGTGAAAAATGGCTAACACTGACTAGAATGCACTCTGAAATAATAAAATATGATTTAAGTTTTCTATTAAGCAGTATTGGCTGGCCATTAGATTCTATGGAGGAGACTAACCAAAATCCTCTATTGTCATTTTTTCTGCAACATGGTATAGAACATGAACCCAACATCTGATTTGGACAGGCCGAAGCCTTAAATTCAGGTTTTGTATTAATTCTGAGGCATCACATAGTATTTTTCATGCCGAGAGCAGCAACTGATAAAAAAATGTCTACTAACAAATTGACACACGTGAAGTGCACGCAAGTCCAATACACGTGAAGAGACAAATTGCAACGATCATTTTTCTTTGTGAAAAATTTTGCAATCACAACTTTGGAGATCTTTGAAGTTCTTTATAGATCCAATTCAACATAAATTGACATCATCTGCATCTGGGTATTTGGTACCCAAGCATTTCACATGTGCTCCCTTTCATTCGCTTTGGGTGTTTTACATTTCACATGATTATTATGATTTCCATAGAAACTTTTTGTGAGGTATTTTGTTCAAGACTTTTGAATATCCAAGTATTAGATTACCAGATCTACCTACATGCAAATTGGAACAAGTGGTTGATCTTTCTACCTACATTTCTACTGAGAGGAAAAATCCTACAAAGCCCATATTTTTTGCTTGCAATTTATAGTCCATGAGGATCAAATATTTTTCCCTAGCACAAATTAGAAATTGGATATGTTTCATTCATTTCATCATTAAATGCTTGATACAGTTCATAAGTCACTGGGTCTATGCAGTCTAGACAAGAAGTTAACTTTCCAGTCTAATGATGCTTCCAGTCATCAAACATGTTCTTCTTTAGTTTAGCTCCAGTTAACAGAGAGACATACAAATTGAAACAGATTTGTGCAAGCTCAAGGCCAGCTGATGTTTAATCTTGCTCAGTCTTGAACTGGTGCCTGCCATTGTACAGTAAAAAAGGATAATAATTATCTAGGAGGCTGTTGAAATATTTCCTCAAGACATCCCTAGAGCATTTTCTCATCTCTACATCATTCTGTTCATATATGAAAGCCATCTGAAGTAGAAGACAGCATTTTTGCAGGAGGATTGCACAGAAATTAAATATCCTAACAATTTATAACAGAAAAATATAATTGTGTGAGCAATTCAAAAACAACAAAACCCTTTTACCTCACACACATCCAGGTTAGACAACTTGATGGCTTCTAAATACTGTGGACTTTAATTCTCATCAGTCCCAGTCAGCAAGGAAACGTAGAATTTTTATTCCAAAATGCCTGCAGCACAGCAGTTACCTTAAGACCAATGGTTCTCAACTTTAGCAACTTTAAAATGTGTGGATTTCACTATGTGAAAATCCCAAATTGGCTATCACCGACAGAGAGGACGATCCATCCAAATTTTATAGATATGAATAAAATGCTAAGATACAGAGACATAATTAACGGACAGGAAAATTTAAAAAACAATTGAAGAATTGGCAGAACAAAACATGAAAGTTGACTGGCTAACCCACTTGCAAATCAAAACTAATGATACTAAAATATAT